CAGGAGAGACCGGGGGAAGCCCAGGAGCTCATTCTAAGGAGGAACAGGTGCCGGGGTTGAGCAGCCTGAGACCCGCGCGCAGAATGCGGGGAGGCTTTTGATGTGCAAGTGTGAAGCTCAGAAGGCAGGTCTAGGCTGGAGGGGGACAGTCCTTACATGTATGAGGCTTCACTCCAGAAAGCGGGGCAAGGCTTTATGAGGTCATTCACATTGAATCTCAATGGGACACTGCTTGACTGAAACATAAAATCTATAATAATGCGACTTCCTTAAGCCCGAATTCAAGTACTTCCATAAATGTAGATGGGGCTAAGAATTCGAAGGATGCATCTTCTGGGAGAAGGCATATGCAGTTTTTGAAAAGCGCTTATTAAAAATAAACCATCTCTCCATTTCCATGTTTTTCAGTCCTTTTAAAAAATAAATCATTTTTTCCTAACACTTTTGGAAAATGCAAAAAAGCATAAGCAAAAACCGCAATCCCATTACTCAGAGATAAGTACTGTTAACCTTTTGGTCTTCCCTCTCTGACATACCTGAGTCTGTATCATAGATTTAGTTATACATATAATTCTAGGCATAGGCTTTAAACATCATAATGTGAATATTTATGTACTGGTGTCCTTTAAAATATTTTATTTCAAAATTATTTTTATAATATTATGTATGTATTTTTAAATTAAAAATGTATTTTAAACTATAACGTACTAGTCCCCCATACAGAGGGCCTTTCATTACTTAACCACTATCACTCTGTACAATAATTAAAAAGTTTTTTCTGGACTGCACAGAAAAGATGTCCTTTTCATTTTCATTTCTTTGTTCTGTAGTGAGGTTTCCCATTTCAACATGCTTATTGGGTATATGTATTAATGTTATTTTTTTCATTTTATTAAAATTTTTGAAATCAGTGATGAAACCTGGGGGAAAATATCTGCTCAATAATAGCTTGTTTTCCCTTAGAAGAACAGCAGATCTCGTATGGGTCATTATTACATTTGCTGTTTACTCACTTTCATTAACTACTTACTCTAACTTTGAACTTTAAGTGCTGTGAAGAGTAGCACCAAAATACCAAAAAGCCTATTGCTATTTGCCTCAAATCAAACTATGGGGCAATGAAGCCCTATTAATCTAAGTTAACTTTTATTCTCTTATCAATAACACCTCGTGGCTATTTCTCTCTGTCAGAATAAATCAGCCTGTCCTCAATATCTCAATCTAATTAGGACAGCTTTATTTTCTGATCTTTTCAGCCCCATTCTAATACCTTTGAGCAGAAATATAAAAGGAGATGACCTCATATGTATGAGGCTATAACTGAAACACTGTTTATGGGACCAAAGGCCTGGAAACAACTTAAATGTCCATCACACGAGACTGTCACATCCATAGGACAGAATATAATGTGGCCGTTAAAAGGAATTGAGGAAATTAGGAGGAACGAAGCTATAATCTATCGGGTTAAAAAAGCAAGGTTTAGAATAATATGACTTGTGTGAAGAATGGGGGTACTGTGAGTAATAGGAGTGCTGACATTTAAAAAAAAGGAGTTATATATAAATGCTTGTCTGTGCATACAGCATAGAAGAATTTACAAGAAATCATTGGCCTTCTGGAGGGGAACTGGGGTCTGGGAGCTGAGATAGGAAGCTGACTTAATTTTCATTCAATTTTCTGTTGTACTGTTTGAATTTGGTAGGCATCCATTATCTTTTTAAAAATTAAAAAATAAACACAGAAATGGAATTATTCATCTCACCCTATGGCAACCATGCCTTCTGCCCCTTCTTTCCCTCACCTGCCTGCCAGAGATCTGTACAGCCCTCTCTGTGCCTCGGACCTGCACTCCCAACCCCTGATTACATGGCCCTGGTCAGCCTCCACTTCCCGAATTAATTCTTCACTAATTGATGCTAGTGCCTTTCAGAAATATTACAAGCCTCATGGGAAAGCTTCTGCCTGAACTCTGCACTGCTGATAATCTTAATCTATTCTGTCCACTAACAAACTATATCATTCTGACTTTTGTTTATCACTCTTCTTCCTAGTCTTTCCTCTCTGTCATCCGGAGTTTTCCTTGCTCACGGAAAACTGCACAGAGGGACCCCTGTTGCTATGATATAAGGTTTAGGATAAACAATAACTTGGATGAGATTTTACAAAATAAGGTTGAGACAATTTTAAGGAGTGGAGGGTTGACAGTAGATGTGCCTTTTCGGAATTCTGTGAGACCTGTGTGTAGGAATGGTCTATCTGTGACATCTTTTCAGCCCTGCGAGTTCTCCTTGCCCTATCATGTTCTGTTGTAGAAAAGGAAGTGGAAAAAATAAATCTTATTGATGAATTTTCTACCACTGGTATCTCATCACATAGGGTTCACTGGGAGCAGTATCTGTCCTGTTATCAAACTAGAGGAACATGAGCCTTAGGTTTGTGCACGAAATAGTAATTTACATTCGCAGTATTAACCTCCAATCTTGGTTCTGTTGAGTTCAACTACATGTTTTTAATTTTTCTATTTCTTTTAAATCCAGAAGATAAAACTTTCTTTGGGAGGGGGTGGTGATAGTTCCCTCCGAGCAACAGGGGAGAATGTAGCAAACAATTAAGCCAAGGACCTTTCTTAAAGTGTTTTCCAACACACTTATGAGATCAGTCATAATATTTATATATCCTCAAGCACTTTGAAATCTCAAGCTGTTTTAACCAGCTGTCACTTTGGTGTCAAACTCCGGGCATTTTAATGTGAAACAAAGGTCAACAGAGGGTTTGTCTTATTCTTTTCCTATTAGTGAAATATTTTATAGTTATTGAACTGTGCTTAAACCCCCAACAGCAAGTCCCTATTGCATATTCCTGTTATCTAGGTCACATGGGATTTTATGATTATTCACAAACAAAATATATAGAAATGAAGAAAAGTGAAAGTGTCAAATTAGCATTTAAAGTATTATCAAAAACTCAAAATATAGACAATCAGTATGGTCTATACAAGTTTGGCACTGATTATTAAGAAACACTTATATCTAGGACTGATATCCAACACACACATAATGCAAATTCAATTTTTTTTTTCAGTTCTTTCTCTGTACCTAAAATAAGATGGCCTAATCGCTTTTTCATCGCTCATTTCAGAAACTACACTGTAAAGATCATTCCGAATTTTGCTAAATTGTTGGCCTTTAAAAATAGATTATTTATTTCTAAAGCTTATTCTCTCCGCTTCTTGTTTAACCCCAAAATAATATATATCTTTGGCCAATATCTCTTTCTGGCCTTTTTCCAGACTTTTTACTCATGGGTGCCTCGTGGGCCACTGTAAAGACTTCGGCTTTTACTTTGAGTAGGGGAGCCCTTGGAGAGCTCCATGAGAGGGGCAGCCTGATCTGATTAAAGTAGGTTTAACAGCATTATTCTGGCTGCTGCTTTGCTCATTGTGAGCGGGTGAGTGTAAGTGTGTGTCTGCGTGTGCACACATCTGTGCTGGGGGCTGTGGGAGGCTGTGGAGGAAGAGCTGTTGGCACACCATTGCAAACATCCAGGCAAGAGAAGCTGATCGCTTGGATCGGGAGGGATGGCGTGGAACCGGTGAGAAGGCTTAGATCCTACATACACTCAAAAGATAGAGCCAATGCAATTGCTTCTAGATCAGATGTGGCTTATGAAAAAGAGGAGTTAAGGCTGACTCCACGGTTTCTGGCCTGAGCAACTAGAAAAATGGAGTTGCCCAACTGACGGGAGAAGACTGTAAGAGGCGCAAGTTTGGGCAGTGGATGTGAGTCAGGAGCCTAGAGAAACAGTCAGACCTGTTGGGCGCACGGGCTGGTGGTCATGAATTAAAATAAAGCCGGTTAGGGTTTGGCCGCTCAGGTGTAGGCACAGTTGGCAGACAATTTAGGTTCAACCAGAGTTAATAGCAGTACATTCATCACAAAAAGGCCCTGAACAAAAGATGCTGAGCCATACCTGCTTCAGTGTAGTTTTATGTCTGTAGGTTTTCTAATTATAAATAATTCAAACGCTGGAACCTCACTGGTACAACGGGAGCCCTGAAGGTCAGTGCTAGGGACTGGGGCCCAGGTCAGGGGAAATTGTGCATCTAGGGCTCCTGTAGCTGATGCTGCCGAGAGTGGGTGGGACCAGAGAAGTTTCAGTTTTAGTGGGGAGCTGCATGGGCCTAAATGCCTGGGGCCCGTCCAGCACCCCACACAAGACGACGCATTCTAGCAGGAACAGACATCATACCTCATACCGTACACATTTGCATGATGGTGAAAATGCCCGGAAAATTACTCAAGTCGCAATCACCCTATTTTTATTAACAGGTTAAATCAGTATGAAAATTAAAAAGACACTGTATAAATCAAGAAACTTGTTCCTGTTTAAATATCCTTAATCCTATTCCTGCATTTGGCAAACAGCCTCAATGTACTTGCTCCCTTTCATTATCAATTCTTTTATTTACATGTCTGTTTCCATGTTGTTTTAGAATTCCAGTTCCTTGATAAGGAGTTATGTTTGTATTATATTTAGGCACACCCAGTGTTTCCTAGAGTGTTCTTCATCTAGAGGACATTAATCACTAGTATTTCCAATTTTACAAAAGGTAAATTGAATTTCTATATGAAATACCTTCCTCCCAGTCACTGAGTTAGATTTTATTAATTAACAGTTGTAATATACCCATAAAATAGCCACTTTATCCACCTGGACAAATATCAAGTCACATTTACCATTTGAACAATGAAGGGAATAGTATATAATATATATTCAAATACAGGCTTTCATTGGTAGTTGAAGAAATAATGCAGATACTTTATATCTACCACACGATACCAATCTAGAGTCAAAAATGAAGGATGGAAAGGTTGGTCATTAAAATGGGAAGGAGGAAAAGGTACTGCTTAAGTGTATCAGGAAAACAAAAGCCAATACAAATATAAGTTTTAGATGTAGACACACATATAAGATACTGTATGTTGTTGTGTGCATCCAAAATGAAAACCTAAAGAGATTGGAAAAGCCCTGACAAAGGCAACAAAATTTCAACAGTAAGCCAACTGCTACAGGGCACTTCAAAATTTGCTAAATTAATTTCAAAACATACATAGTTTTCAAACACTCTCCTTCAGACTGTTTGGGTTGAAAGGCACTTTGGGAACAAGTGGGAAACAAAGATGTACTGAAGCCTCATTGGTGAGATTAATGTTGATTCTCTAAGGGACAAAAATCCATGCTGTTGTGTTTGCATAGGAGGATGTCCCAATTACCAGGAGACACATGCTGAAGTATTTAGCACTACAGTGTCTTATTGTCTACAACTTAAAGTTTCAAGGGGTTCGGGATAAAAAAACGTGTGTGTGTTTGTGGAGAGAGAGGGAGAGATTGAGAAAGGAGACAGAAAATGTGGGAAGATATTAGTTACTGAATGTCCGTGAATGCCGGGAGGCTGTTTATTATACTACTCTTTCAATTTCCCTATAGATCTGAAGACTTTCACAACGATCAATCTCCTACAACATGACTGTGTACTCTATAGGAGACATACTTAAACCATGCAGGTAATGATTTATACAGAATGAATAAAAAAAATTTTAAAAAAGGAAACAATATGAATTTCATATAAACAACTCAAGATAAAAGTGATTATATAACCCAATCGCATCAAGTGTACCCTATAGTGACGCACAGCATTTCCACTGTCCCGTGGTCACGTACTGAGCAGCCTTTGCGTAGCCGCGCGTTCCTCTAGTCGTGCGACCTCTGAATCCATGATCTCTAATTTCAGTCGAACCTCAGCGTTGCTCAGAAGAAATCAGTTAGTGTCTTTCATCAGTTCCCAGTTTCTCCAAGTCTCCAAAAAGGCCATTTCTGATTTTCACTACCTTCACATGTTCCATTACTCTCTTAGCAGATGAGCTTATTTCCAACTTCCAAAGAAAACAGAAATCTCAGATGGGAAATCCTTCACCGGCATGCTGCCAAGCTTACAAAATCTGCCCTTGCTGTATGTGGTAGATGCTGCCATTTGGCTGGTCTAACTGCCATTCCCAAGTCCCGTGTCCCTTGACTTCTCCCACCATGAGGATCAGAGAGCTTCCTCAGCCTCCCACACAGCGCCAGGCAATCAGACGGAAGCAGAAGTCTCCTGGCAACTGCTGGCAAGGCTTCCTGATTAAAGGACCAAGTGCAGCCCACACCACCTTTTCCCCTTTTCCTGCCTTGATCAGGGCACGAGGGGAAAAGGCCAAGACGGATGCAGTGATGTCAACGTCTTAGTGCTGACATCATTGTGTTTCCTCAACATCCTATACCCTTTGCCATCATCGTTTGCATTTTCTTTTGCTCCAGGAGGTCACATATGATCTCTAGTGACCCGACATTCCAAACAGATTTCTCAATTAGATTGTAATGCCAGGATTTTGATTTTATTTACACTAAGACAGCAATTCTTTTTTTTTTTTTTTAAAGATTTTATTTATTTATTTGACAGAGAGAGAGAGATAGCGAGAGCAGGAACACAAGCAGGGGGAGTGGGAGGGGGAGAAGCAGGCTTCCCGCGGAACAGGGAGCCTGATGCGGGACTCGATCCCAGGACCCTGGGATCATGACCTGAGCCGAAGGCAGACGCTTAACGACTGAGCCACCCAGGCGCCCAAGACAGCAATTCTTTTTAAAACAGCACTGGCATTCATCAAAGATTGTGGGTTAAATCCCTGGAATATTAAACATCCCCATTTAGTTTGAAGGGCCATTTACCCTACAATGAAAAACGGGCATAAATGCTGGAGCAAACAGTCATTTTGGCAGTCACTAAAAATATTATTCAGGTGGATATATCCTACTTTTAAAAGCAAGGAGCGATCCTCTAGCATCCCCGAAATATGTAAATTGGTTATTGCCAGTCCACAAAAGAAAGAAACAGAGTATATATGAACCACTAGCTAAATCTATATGTATTGCCCACAATGAAGAGGGTGCAAAATGCTTTCAAAAGCCATGATGTGACATCAAAGTATAAAATCTAATTAAACAAAATCTAATCAATTCAATTAATTTAATCATCAGAGAAGCCGAGGCCAACAAGACTAAAACAATTTAAAAATAAGACCCTTACGCAACAGTGTTACAAGTAAACTCAGAATTAACAATGTGATATTATTGAAACATCCGGATTATTGCCAGGATTTACTGTAATTAGTTTCCTCTACTTAATATGCATGTGCTTCAGATTATAAAACCAAGAAGCTAATTTGTATGACGAAGCAAAACATAGACTGACTGAAACTTTTCACACTTTTCCAACAATCTAACTGCCAACAGAATATAACTTAATATGCAAAATTCCGTCCAGATAAATTTTAGAGTGAGCTACCGATTCCTTGATTCAAAGGAGAAAATAATTGTTTTCTGTTATACAAGCTATGTCTAGAAAATATAAGACCAAAGAACCATACTGTCATATTTATTGCTAAAAGTAAAATATATTTCAGCACAATAATGTAACTTTCCAAAGGAAAAGGCTGTCTATGTATATACCAACACAGACAACACCCACGAAAAAAAAGATAAAGGCCAAAAGTTCAAGAAAAAGTATCAATTTTCTTTTTTATCTATGACATTTTGATCATTAAGATCATTTGATCTTAAAATACAAATACCAATTGTATTTGGCTTGGGAATATGATTTGGGGCAAAATGCCTGGCAAAAACTGTTATCAATGTAACCCTTCAAGTTCCATATTCATCAGCTTTAGGATTTCAGCTCTTTCCCTAAAACCGTTGTATTGTTTCCAGCTGGGACTTCAGGTGCCTCTTTATCTCTATCATTACATTTTAAGCTCCCCGAATGCAGGCACTGAGTCATATGTGGAATTGCATCTCCTACTAAGCCCCATGCAACACTGAGATTCACAAAACGAACTGAAGTTTATTTCATTTGAAATATCTGAAATGAAAACCAATGAATAAATCCCACATCACATACTGTGGCCTCCTAGCTCTTCAAATCTGCACTGGTCACACTGGGCACTTGACTGCCTCCCAACAATTCTCTGGTGGCCATACCTGTGTGATATCCCTTCTCTGGTTAAAGACTCCACTTCTCTGGCCACAGGAGTCGGCACACAAGCCAAGCTTGGCCAATCAAAAGGGCCTTCTGGACCTTAGAAGAAACCAATTCTGAGAGAGAGGACTTCTTTTCCTTTATGATCTTGGAATAGTTTGGCTACAAGTAGCCTTGGAGCTGTCAGGGACTGCTTCTCCAGCTTCCCAAAGAAAGCGGTCTTCCTGGTCAGCACACTGAAAGCAGAGGGGAGAAAGTGAGAGGTCAGAGGAGCCCACACCCCTACACCTCGCAGCACCTTTACTCTTCCCGCGATTAGGTTAAAAGAGCGAATAAATACCCTTGACTTACTTTCACTAGCTCATGTAAGGGTTCCATCACTAGAAGCCAGAGTTCTAACTAGAACAGACACAGATTTGTATTACCATAAGGATTCTGGGAATTTACTATGGCATCCAAAATCCTCACGTTAAGTATTAAGAAGATGGATTAGTTAGAGAGGTTAAGGACCTTGCCTCAAGTCTCAGAGTGAATTTGTAAGGATGCAGGAAACTGTGGCAGATCCTCCGGGTTGGCTCACTCTCACTCACTCTGACACTAACATTCCCCAGTGTTGCAGCTAGGGTGCAGGCAGCTGGCCTAAGTTCCTGGCAAGCAGAGACATCAGCCAGGATTTGGATGAGAAATGAGCAATGAGAGGTGGCCACTGCATGCTCAGAGTTTGTCCCTTTTGGGGAGCACGGTGGTATAGCCAAGCAGCTCCTCTGAGGCAAGGAAGGTAGAGTCTCTGGTGCATAGGGTGCTGCCTGCCCGGTATACTCCTGGCTCCCTAGAACCACTGTTCTTCTTTTTAATTGAAGTACAGTTGACATATCATATGAAATTAGTTTCAAGTGTACAACAGCGATTCCACAATTACATGCATTATGAAATGCTCACCACGATAAGTGTATTAGAATATTATTGACTATATTCCTTCCCTATGCTGTACTTTTCATCCCTGTAACTTCCTTATTTTAGAACTGTAGATTTGTACCTCTTAATCTTCGCCCATTTCACTCATCCCCACCCCTTCCCCTTTGGCAACCACCGGTTTTTTCTCTATATTTATAAGTTTGTTTCTCTCTTTTGTTGCTGTTGTTTGTTCATTCATTTGTTTGCTTTTTAGATTCCACATATAAGTGAAATCATATGGTATTTGTCTTGGTCTGGCCTATTTCACTTAGCATAATACCCTCCCTCTAGGCCCACCATGTTGCCACGCATAGCAAGATTCCATTCCTTTTTATGGCTGAGTAATATTCTATTGTGTATATATACTGCATCTTTTTTAACCATTCATCAATCATTTGGAATCACTGTTTTTTGGCTTGATTGTTCTATTTTCTTTGTTTTTGATCGAGTGAGATCCAAAACTAGTTCTATGGCTCTCTCAAGATTCTGGGAGCTACTAAGAACCTTCAATAAATCTCTTTCTGCTTAAACGAGCTAGAGTTCTGTTTGAAACAAAGAGCCTTGACCTAAACAGAATTTGGTACCTGGACATGGAGTGCTGCAACCTCACATGTGGAACCAGATTGCTGAAGAAGGACTTTGAGCCGTGAAGGCACAGATACTGAAAGCAGAAAGCCGGGAACTCTTCATATGCGTGATATAAAATGTTGTCAAACTGTCCCATGCTGTACTTTGGAAAGTAGACTACAATATGTGCTACTCTGCATTAGAAGAGTAAAAAAATTGGCATAGAAGGGGGACATTCAATAGCAGTCCCCAGAATTCCTAAACTCCTTCCCAAATTTAATATCACTCCGACATGGTTTTCGGCTGCCTCAGAAACTATAAAAAAACAGTGACTAGGGGCGCCTGGGTGGCTCAGTCGTTGAGCGTCTGCCTTCGGCTCAGATCATGATCCCAGGGTCCTGGGATCGAGCCCCACATCGGGCTCCCTGCTCTGTGGGGAGCCTGCTTCTCCTTCTCCCTCACTTGTGCTCTCTAGCTCTCTCTCTGTATCTCTCCAATAAATAAATAAAATCTTTAAAAAAAAAAAAAAAGTGACTAAAACATGGGGGATTTTTGGGGCACCTGGGTGGCTCAGTCGTTAGGCGTCTGCCTTTGCCTTGGGTCATGATCCCAGGGTCCTGGGATCGAGCCCCGCATCGGGCTCCACATCGGGCTCCCTGCTCAGCGGGAAGCCTGCTTCTCCCTCTCCCTCTCCCCCTGCTTGTGTTCCCTCTCTCGCTGTGTCTCTCTCTGTCAAATAAATAAATCTTTAAAAAAAGGGGGGGGGGATTTTATTTTTCTCACACTTGAAGATTAATAAACACTTAAGAGAGAGTCAGTCCATGCAGTTTATACATTCAAAATCACAATCTCAAATCATCAATAAAAAAGTAAAATGGTGAGCAATAGGCTAAGAAGAGAGAGGAGGAGGTCACATATCATAGAAATATCTCATTGAGGTCACTTTTATTTTGCTCACATCTATTGCTTTGAAGTTTAAAACATCCTCCCGCATATTCTTTCTCGCCGTCCCTTTCCTTGCTGTCTTTTTCTCCCTCTGTCATTCTTTTATAACCCTATAACCCGATGGGGCAGTATTCATTATTCTTCTCGCAGAAGAGAAGAGATTGGCTTTGAAAAGTTGTGTAAGGTCTTCAACATTAAAAATCAAGTAGCAAGACTTAGTATTAATCGGAAGTGAAGCAGATCTAGGTTTCATGAGGCCTGAAGTTAGTACAATTTGCAGAAACTTTGTTAAGAAAAATCATAAAAATTAAAAATACAAAATCAGGAAAGTGAATGAGAAAAAAAATCACAACCAATTATAATTTCTATAAAGTTGACAAATACCATGAATGTCACAGAATCTAGCAATACAGTATAACATTTTAATTAATAAACTGCCTGACATCCTTCTCTAATATCTTTTCTTACCTCTCTAGGCTGCATACTCTGCTCGTCTCTTCAAGTGCAAATAGTTTTTAAAATACACTTTTCTATAGAGATAGTAAGATTTTCAGTCATTTCTTCAGCACAGCAGGTTGAAATGTATTATCATGGAGAGTTTTGAAAAATGTTTTTAGCTTCACCACTCATTTATCACATGTAAGCTTTTAAGTTGTAAATTCATCGCATGTAAGTTTGGGAAGAAGTTTGTTCCATACATGAGCTGTAAGATTTCAGGGCATTTCACTTTTCTTGCGCAAGTTAATCTTAAATACTTTATGACAACCTTCCATCAGTTTGTCATTGATGATTCATTGTAGTGGGGTGACTTTTATGCTATTTTGTGGATGTCAGTATTTGTTGTCAAATCATCAAAAAGTTCTATCTTTTTCCAGTGTGTTCATATAATTTATTACTCTTCATTAATTGGGCTCAATTTATCATAACTTTTCTATTTGAAATTTATCTCTCTCGATGAAGTGCTACTTTTGATGTGATCTGAAAATTTGTTACAATTTACTTCTTGATAGAAAAATATCTATTGATCTCATGTAGAAATACACGAAAAATAATTTTACTTTGGGATGCTATTATAATTTAATATGCTTCATTGTCGACTATATTCCTGACAGGGCAGAACTTCTTGTTTTCACTGGGTGACAAGGAGAACTGAAACATCTGCTTACATGGCTAATGAATTTTGTGTTTAATAAGTTTTTACACACCTAAAGCTTGGAAGAATTTTCCACAAATGGATTGGCTTCTGACTTCGTATCTTTCAAACATGTTCCTCTTCCAGTGCCTATATACTTCTGGTGCTCGGGACTAAAGATCATTCATACAGCAACCAAACTTCTGGCCCCACCTTCAATATCATGAAATTAGGTCAGCTGGTGTGGCTGAGGTAGAGATATTCCTATGGTAGCACAGCCTCCACCAAGAAGGCTAATAATAACATGCACAGAATAGCCTGGGAGGCACATAAGCGTATCCGAAAAGTCTGGCGAAAGGGTAGCTAAGGTGGAAAGAGATAATAGTCTTCCAGATAAAATATCTTACTCGTACCAACTTTACAAAAATATCTGACTATGTGAACACAACGGTAGTGCCTTGGAAGGTGCCCAGATAAGTGAAGGGCCCTGGAGGCTAAACTTCATTAGTTTTATGGCAAATACGCCTCTGCTATTTCCATAATGTGTTTCTCATTTTAATTTATATCCAGCTTTTTGAAATAGAACTGACATATAACATTGTGTAAGTTTAAGGTAACATGATGATTTGATGTTTGTATATATTGTGAAGTGCTTACCACAGTAAGGTTGGTTAGAACATCTTTTGCCTCACATAATTACCATTTTGTTGTTGTTATGGTGAGAAAATTAAAGCTCTACTTTCATAGCAATTTTGGAGTATACAATACAGTATTGTTAGCTGTTGTTACCATGTTGTACATTAGATCCCTGGAATTTATTAATATCATAACTGAAAGTTTGTACCCTTTGACCGACATCTCCCCATTTTCCCTGCACCTCAGCTCCTGACAATCATCATTCTATTCTCTGTTTCTAGTTCAGTGTTTTTAGATTTCGCATATAAGTATTTGTCTTTCTCAATCTGAATTATTTCACTTAGCATAATGCCCTCAAGGTCCATTCATGGTGTTGCAAATGGCAGGATTTCCTTCTTTTTTATGGCTAAACAATACTCCATTGTGTATATACACCACATTTTCTTTGTCCATTCATCTGTCGATGGACACTTGAGATTGTTTCCATGTCATGGCTATTGTAAATAATGCTGCAATGAACATGGGGGTGCAGATATCTCTTTGAGATAGGGATTTTATTTTGGACTATGTCCCTAAAAGTGGGATTGCTGAATCACAGGGTAGTTCCCGTTTTAATTTTTTGAGGAAGCTCCATACTGTTTTCCTTAGTGGCTGCACCAGTTTGCATTCCCACCAACAGCGCACAAGCGTTCCCTTTTCTCTGTATCATTTGTTATCGCCTGTCATTTTGATAATACCCATTCTAATAGGTGTGAGGTAATATCTCATTGTGGTTTTGATTTGCATTTCCCTGATGTTAGTGATGTTGAGCACCTTTTCATATATTTATCAGCCATTTATATGTCATCTTTGGGAAAATGTCTATTCAAGTCCTCTGCCCATTTTTTAATTGGATTGTTTTTTTTTTCTATTGAGCTGAAGAAAGCTCCTTATATATTTGTACTATTATCCCCTTATCAGATAGATGGCTTGCAAATATCTTCTCCCATTCCATAGGTTGCCTTCTCATTTTGTTGATCATTTTTTTGCTGTGCAGAAACTTTTTAGTTTAAGGTAGTCCCACTTACTGATTTTGGCTTTGTTTTAATTTTAAGATGTAAGTCTTGTATAGTCAAAATTCAATTCTCCCTCCATTTTTAAACATTGGTAGAGAAAGAGCAAAGAAGTGGAAATAGAACAGAACTTTTCCCCATGACACGAACATTTCTAGAAAGTTTTACTACTGTTCTTGGGAACCAAAGGAGGGTTCTTACTTTCTCTCCTTTTACCCACTTCACCTCTCTCAGCCTCAATTTCTCCCTGTATGAAATGTAGGAATTTAAAGCCTTTCAAATGTTATGTCCCAATGAGTGAATGAACTCATTGGGTTATCAGAACAGAAGCCTCAAGAGGCCTTGTCCTGTGATCATGGCAGGTCCGTTTCATTTGTGAGGGGAGAGTGAAAGCAATGTAGGGAAGAAATCCTGTGTGCCTGGAGGTGGCAAGGCACAGCACACCCTGAGACCTGCTCAGAGGACACTAAGAAAGAAGAGACTGCTCTGGGGAAATGGGATCCTAACGTGGGGGTAATGGAACACAGGTTGTAGGTGTTGACATGGGCAGAGCAAACCCATGCTCTGGGTTTACCAGGTTGCTTTGTTTGGGACTATTCCCTAAATCCATCATTTGCCACATACGTAATGGGCAAACATATATGGCCATATTTAATGTCAAGATGTTTTAAAATTTTTGGTCAATTTGAAATAAATATTATGAGAGAGAGTATATATACAACAAATGTTTAAAGGTATTCAAATCCTGAAAGGCAAAGGGCTGTGAATACGGCATGACCCTTGGCACACACTGCCAAGTTCAGAAGGGCCAACTAATGAATATTATAATTGATGATAGTGATAAGAAAGTAAGGGATTCTTATAGCTGTAACTGTAAAAATATGCCTATTTACCCATTCCAGTCCCTGCTTGTGCAATTTCTCCTGATAAAATTTCCACTGCTGCCTTCTGTTTATGATGTACTGAAAGTCAAAGGACTACTTCTCAAGGACCCTATTAACAAAGAGTAGAAATTAACAAATGCATACCTCAAAATATGACACAAGCCTGTATTTGCATACCATGAAAGAAGATACTTTTCTGGACCATATAATTATCTCTGACTTGCATGATCTCTATAAAGAGTTTATTATTATAGGTTTTCCCAATTATGCCATGCATGGTCACAAAAATAAACACCTTATAAAGGGATAACACTCTTAGTCCTTCATAAATTAATAATAAATTTTATCTGAGGAATACAACTTGACACATGGTAATGAAAGCTTGAAAGGATCACTAAAATTGTATTTGTAAAATCCCTTCATTTTTTTCCATTTTCCCTCTTTTATTTAATTGATGCCTACTATTTTCTTCATATGACAGATGATTTTAAATGATATGTATATCATGGCTACAGCTCAATTTCTCTTAAAGAACATCTACATCATATATGACCTATAGCCATTGGATAACTTATTACAGAATGAGTCAGTTATCCTAGTTTGAAACAGAATTAAGTACATAAGTATGTAAATAACAATGTCTTAGTTGAGAATTTTAAGGATTTAGCGATCACCTTCTTTGAAAGGTGTGGTCATTTGGAAGGTCAATAGAAAGAAGTGGAAGTTTAAGGTCTTGTTCTGCCTGTTATTCTAAAGACCTGCTTGTCCTTCGTTAAGTCAGTTCATTTCCCCATAACTTAATTTTCCTTTTTAGTAAAATGCAGATCATATCAGCTTCTTAACTGCTTCGCAGAGCTACTATGATGAAACAATATGGCATCAGATGTGAAACATTTCAAGGACAAATATGAAACATAATTATTTTAATGACCAATAATTAAAGTAAACTTCTACTTTTCCCATTATGTTTACTGTCAATTTCTCAGCCTAAAGCCAACTTAATAAATCTATTTGACAATTTAATTATGTGACTAAACTGAGCTTCATGGAAACACCATGAAAAATTGATGCAGGTACTGTTTTCAAGCATCCTATAATACAAAGCGCCTTCTAAACAACAGACTAAAAGTTGGCTTTCAGGGGCGCCTGGGTGGCTCAGTCGTTAAGCGTCTGCCTTCGGCTCAGGTCATAATCCCAGGGTCCTGGGATCGAGCCCCACATCGGGCTCCCTGCTCCGTGGGAAGCCTGCTTCTCCCTCTCCCACTCCCCCTGCTTGTATTCCCTCTCTCGCTGTGTCTCTCTCTTCAAATAAATAAATAAAATCTTTAAAAATAAGTAAATAAATAAATAAAAGTTGGCTTTCAGATGGCAGCTACACTTCTGGCGAGCATAGCATCATGTATAGAGGGGTTGAATCACTCTGTTGTACTCCTGAAACTAATGTAACATTGTATGTCAATTATACTCAAATTTAAAAAAAAATTAATAAAAATTAATTAATTAAAAACAGTGTTAAAGTTGGCTTTCACAATAACCTTTCATTTTAAGTTCTACATTCACTAATTCCATTCAGTGAATTAAATATGGCAATTAAACCCTAGCCACTAATAGAGCACGTATTTCTCTGTAGAGTGAAACATCTACCCTTAGACACCTGCTTCCTGTTTCTGGGTTTTGATAAAATCTAAAATTTCTCATATAATTCTAAATAGCCCCTAAGTTTAAATCCTCACCTTACCACACACTAGTCTACAAAATAAAATACAGGAGTTCTTGGCAGTTAGCAGGGCGGGGGGGAGGGGCACTTCATAAAATGAAATGAATAACAGACTGCAAAAATTGTGAAACCAAGAATTTTCTAAAAAGTTTGTCAAAATAAAATATTTGGCCAATATCCCTTGAGCTTTCTATTTTGTATAGAAGAGAAAATTCCTAAATAGAAAAGAGTGTCAATGAAGATTATGACACAGAAAACGGAGCCATTTTATTTTAACATATCTGGGATTATAACTAATAATATTGTTTTTCTCTTTTAAAAATTTAATAAGTTATCTTTTTATGTTATTCAAGCTGTAATAATTCAGTTACAAAGGTTGCAGATCTTTCCCAGTGATTCTACACTAAAACGAAACTCTTGCTCCTAGAGGTTAAAAGTTCAGAAGCTAGAACTGGACCGTAGGGAGTTCAGAATCTGGTCCTGCCCCTCATTGGCTGTGTGCCCGCAGACAAATTATTCCACCTCTCTGTGTCTGAGTTTCCTCACTTATAAAATAGAAATGCTAACAGATCTACCTAAAAGGGTTGTGGTGAGGGCTAAATGAAAACCCAAGCAAAGCACTCGGAACATTGCCTGGCACACACCACCCTCTCAGTGCCCTTGTTACATATTGTCATCATTATTTCACATACATGTTTCCATCTTTTATTAACGCTTACTAAGTGAAAGCAATCGCTGTGTACCAAAATATCTACAAATAATTTAGAACAATAATACGCTCAAACTTTTGTGAGTGTGGCTGTCAGAATTAAAATGTCCTAAGAAATTATTCAAAGAGCTAAATTTGTAAATAGAAAGTTTATGTGAGACACACCTATAAAATGTTGCTGGGAATAAATATATAGATAGGGAAAGAAAGTACCGAGATAAGGTCAAATTAATTATCCAGAATTTAATGAGACATTGATCATACTGCATTTTGTTTAATGTGGCCATTCACATTTAAAAAAATAATCTCAAAATGGCTTGAATTAAATTAGATTAATGAAATTGATTTTTAATGGGTGGTCATAATAGATTTTGACATACTTTATATGTTGATTTATTTTTATTTTATTTAATTAATTAATTTATTTATTTATTTATTATTTTTTACGTAGGCTCCATGCCCAGTGTGGAGCCCAGTGTAGGGCTTGAACTCATGACCCTGAGATCAAAACCTGAGCTGAGATCAAGAATCAGATGCTTAGGGGTGCCTGGGTGGCTCAGTCAGTTAAGCATCTGCTTTCAGCTCAGGTCCAGATCCCAGAGTACTGGGCTCAAGCACCATGTCAGGCTCCCTGCTCATCAGGGGAGTCTGCTTCTCCCTCCCCGCTCCCCCGCTTGTGCTCTCTCTCTCTCTCTCAAATAAATAAATATAATCTTTTTTTTTTTTTAAGATTTTATTTATTTGACAGAAAGAGACACAGCGAGAGAGGGAACACAAGCAGGCGGAGTGGGAGAGGGAGAAGCAGGCTTCCCGGGGAGCAGGGAGCCCGATGCGGGGCTTGATCCCAGGACCCTGGGACCATGACCTGAGCCGAAGGCAGACGCTTAACGACTGAGCCACCCAGGCGCCCCATAAATAAATATAATCTTAAAAAAAAAAGTCAGATGTTTAACTGATTGAGCCACCCAGGTGCCCCTGTGTTGATTTTTTTTTTTTTAATGTAAGCAAAAACAACTCTGAATCTCTGATTCCTTTTCTATGGAATAGCCAGAAATTTTCCAGCAAGAATAGAAGAAATGTTATTTCTGTTTCTACTGCTAAAGAACAATATATATTAAGACATAGTTAGAAGTTAAAAATTTAAATATCCACAGCTCTCTAAAAACTTTTTAAGAAAACCATACGTGTGACATCCAAGAGCCTAAACATAACTTAAATATTAAAGGTGGACAAGAAAGGAAAGGAATGGAATCGGGACGAGTTTTGCCACAGGCATACAGAAAATTCAAATTGAATAACAAGCTTGTTATAGAACTATTGACTATTTTTTTAAATACACACTATCAAATAGTAGTAACCCAAAATTTATAACCCATTATAACTTAGCTAGGTTGGCCTTTATAATAAATACTTTCATACATAAATGATTAAAAATAATCCAACCAATTCTTTAACATTGGAATAAAAAATCTGATATTTTACTTACTCCATTTACATTTGTTTTAGCTTGTGTTCCATATGTTTCTTCAAATCTTAAAATTTGAAGGTGAACCTCACTATAATCTTCCACACCAGCATCTTCAAATATAAGATGAGTTCTGCAGCAAAGGATATGATTAAAAAAAAAAAAAAAAAAAGCAAATGGGATAAAGAGGTACAAACTTCCAGTTATAAAATAAATAGGTCATGGAGATGAAAAGTACAGCATAGGGAATGTAGTCAATAATATTGTAATAATGTTGTACGGTGACTACATTTATGGTGGTGAGCACTGAGTAATGTCTAGAATTGCTGAATCACTATGCTGTACACCCGAAGCTAATATAACACAGTGTGTCAGCTATACTTCAGTAATTAAAAATCTATAAATAAATAAATACAGTGTAAGCAAGTATCATTACCAGACTCAACCAAATACTGTTTCCTGTGGAATGGTCTGAGCCTGTTGCTAGCTGGCTGTCTCCATGATAAGAAAGGGAGGTTGGCAAGTGTTCAAGGACCAAATGAGATTTTTTTTTTCTCCTAAAATCAGAATCATTAAAAGAGAAAGAAAAGAAAAAAAATATTCATGAATTTACAGTGGATCAATTCCAACATTCCCTGAGTTGTCGTTCTTGATCGAGGTCACCTGGTTGGATGTCAACAACAATTGCATTTAAAGGGCTAGGACGATCTGGGGCACTGAGGGTTATCAAGTCATCCTGAATAGAGCTTTAGCTTCAAACCACATTTGGTACGTTATAGCCTCAATGTCCTTATTTTCTAAACAGTCTAAAATTGAAGATTTCCTCTTTGATATGATAATTACACGTATGTGCAAGTACTTTTTACATATCTTAGATACCAGAGTTTTGGGGTTTTATTGTCTCTGAAAGTTTTGTTATTCATTCAGTGTATTACATAAGATCAAAGAATGTGGTCTATAAAATGTCTAGTTTCTGAAACAGATTAAGGTAGCTTTGAGGATGCTTGGAAATAAGGTGCATACTTGTCTTGTGGGCAAGAATGTTCTATCTGTAGTTATTAATTCAACTTTAATATTATCCCAATATTCTATGTCCTTTTTAATTGTTTATTTAAGGGGTACCTGGGTGGTTCAGATGGTTAAGCACCTGCCTTCCATTCAGGTCATGATCCCAGGGTCCTGGGATCGAGCCCCACGTTTGTGCTCCCGGCTCAGTGAGGAGTCTGCTTCTCCCTCTGCCCCTGCCCCCTGCTTGTGCTCTCTGTCTCTCTCTCTCTCACTCAAATGAATAAATAAAATCTTTTAAAAAATTGTTTAATAATAAATAATAATAATAAGTAATCATTATTACTTAACTCATTAAATATGAAGATCTGTGAAAATCTTCCACAGCAATGATATTTCTCTCTTTCTCTTTAGGTATCTAATAGCTCTGACTTAAATGTCTTAACGCTTAACGCTATGTTACCTAGCACATGAAAGTGCATGACCACATTATCTTCATTGTGAATGATACATTTTATGCCATTTGGATTCTACCTTCCTTTCATATCACCGTCCCCTCTTTTTTCCCTTTTCATTCTCCCCTTCCTTCTCCTTTTCTATCCCCTTGTCCTTCTCCTTCTTGTTCCTTGCCCACTCTGATTCTTCTGACTTTCTTGTGTTGTTTGGTTTCAATGTCTATCCTAACATATAGTTGGACTTTGATTTTAACCTATTCTGAGACTTTATCTTTCAACTGAGCAGTATATAGCATTTACGTTTATTTGCACAACTAATGATTTTGACTTAACTTGTGAAATCTTGTTTTATGCTTTCTGTTATAATGTTTGCTTCATTTTATGATTTTTGGAATATTCATTCATTCAACAATATTTACTGAATAATATGTGCTAGATATTGTGACTTAGAACTATGTTTTCATGGCTTTTATTTTATTTAGGTGCCTAAGAAGGCACTCATTTTTCAGGTTTCCTTGTTCAAACATCACTAAGTAAAGCCTTCCTTAGTTGTTAAAATTACATTATGCTCCTGCATTATTCTTTTCCATAACACCCTTTAATATTTTTTCACAGTATTTTTCAATTCTTTATTTGTGGGTTATCAGCTTAATGTCTACCCATATACCAAACTCCATGAGGATAGCTGCCTTGTCTGACATACTGATAACTATACACCCAGGGCCCAGAAGTCACTGCCATGTAGTAAGGGACTCAAAGGTTGAAAGAGAGAGTTAATTAATTAATTAATTAATAATGTAGGTAGTCTTAAAAGTGCAGATTGTAATTATCTTTTTTTTTTTAAAGATTTTATCCATTTTTGCGAGAGAGAGAGAGAGTGAGCACGAGCAGCAGGGAGGAGCAGAGGGAGAAGCAGACTCCCTGCTGAGCAGGGAGCTTAACTGACTGAACCACCCAGGCATCCCTATTATTATTATTTTTAAAGATTTTATTTATTTATTTGAGAGAGAGAGAGAGTGAGCGAAGAGAGAGAGCACAAGTTGGGGGGAGGGAGGCAGAGGAAGAAGCAGGCTCCCCGCTGAGCAGGGAACAGATGCAGGACTCGATCTCAGGACCCTGAGAGCATGACCTGAGCCAAAGTCAGACACACTTAACCATCTGAGCCACCCAGGTGTCCAACAGATTGTAATTATCTTAAATCTTTAATATATAGACACTGTGACTCTCTACTAAGTGATGGGATCACAGACTACTTTCACTCATTTTCCTGTTTATATATTTTGTACTTTTAAATGTTTTGATCACCATTGTTGATAAAGACTGAAATCATTTTACACGAGTCCCTCCCTATTAAGAAAATATTAGCACGTTTGTCTTTTCATATCTGTCACCAAGACTTATTTTTACTAATAGGGACTTGAATCTTTAACCACATGACATGGTAGGAAGCATCACTACTGTAAGATGTAAATGATTTGGTTCTAGCATCAGAAATTCTATAAAAGTTATTAAATAATTAAATTTGGCTACAAAAATATGACATTTCTTTATCTGGATATGTTTAAAGAAAAGAGGACTTTCTGGGACACACTAAGTGATCTCCAGAGGCAAAAACAGTTGGCTGTACCATATGGTCTGTCAAAGGGTCTATTGCTTTGATTCTATCACCTGTTACCTTTCCAAACATCATCTCTAGGTGAAGAGATCTTCAAGTAGAAGCTAGTATCCATAAAACTTTTCTAATACTTACTTGTTTATCTGAGCATACTAAACTGTAGAACTGTTGGGGCGGGGCTCATTGGTATTGTCAACAGCACCCTCCATTTACCACACAATGTACTGAGTGGATATATAAATACATTAGAGGAAAATGTGAAGTCATTACAATAATGATCCTTGTGAAATAATTTGATGATTAACATGCTTTAAATTTAGACTGGAAAACCCATCTTTTTGTTTCATGTACAAACCTTTTCAGAATATGTTCAGTTCTTCTCCTTCCCTTTTCAGTTGCTTTTGGACCTCCCATTGTGCAGACAGCAGTTGCTCCAACATCATCATGGTAACAAGCACTTACCTGCCAACATGAGGTTACAAATATAAACAATGATATTAATCCATGCCAACAATAATATGCCCTAGAATGGATCGCGTAACTTTTTTTTCATTTTTTATTTAAATTCAATTTAGTTAACATATAATGTATTATTAGTTTCAGAGGTAGAGTTTAGTGATTCATCAGTTGCATAGAACACCCAGCGCTCATTCCATCAAGTGCCCTCCTTAATGCCCATCACCCAGTTACCGCATACCCCAGCCCCTCCCCTCAGCAACCCTCAGTTTGTTTCCTATGGTTAAGAGTCTCTTATGGTTTGTCTCCCTCTCTGGTTTCATCTTGTTTCATTTTTCCTTCCTTTCCCCTATGTTCATCTGAGTGTTTCTTAAATTCCACATATGAATAAAATCATATGATATTTGTCTCTCTCTGACTGACTTATTTCACTTAACATAATACCCTCTAGTTCCATCCATGTCGTTGCAAATGTTAAGGATTTCATTCTTTCTGATGGCTGAGTAATATTCCATTGTATATATATACATCTTCTTTATCCATTCATCAGTTGATGGACATCTGGGCTCTTTCCATAGTTTGGCTATTGTGGACATTGCTGCTATAAACATTGGGGTGCATGTGCCCCTTCAAATCACTACTTTTGTATCCATTAGAAAAATATCTAGTAGTGCAATTGCTGGGTTGTAGGGTAGTTCTAGTTTTAAATTTTTGAGGAACCTCCATACAGTTTTCCAGAGTGGCTGCACCAGCTTGCACTCCCACCAACAGTGTTAAGAGGGTCCCCCTTTCTCCACATCCTCACCAACATCTGTCATTTCCTGAGTTGTTCATTTTAGCCATTCTGACCAGTTGGATCACATAACTATTGATCAGAAACCATTTTATCTATTCTAAGTGTATAAGTAAGTAAAGTTATCTTTTCTTAAATGAAATAATGACCTTCATGGAGGTAAAATGAAAGCATTAATAATAAATTGTGTGTGTGGGTATAAGATTATATTTCTGAATATACAGAAATATTTTGGGGGCTTTAAAGTTTAATTCTGTCTAAGCTTTCCAGTTAAGCTTTTCTTCTACGTGGGCGGAGACTTTGGAAACACTCTACTGGAAACAATCTAAATGTTAGATAAGAATGGAATGGTTAAATAAACTATGATATATGCAGATAATGGAATGCTGTGGAGCACTTTTGAAATAATGTAAAAAAGTAAATAATAAAAAAAAGTGAAAAGTAAAATTATTTAGTCATGAGGAAATGCTCCTAAGGTTATATTTTTAAAAAGATGCAAAAATAGTATACAATATAATCTAAATATGTGTGTTTACATTTGCGTGTAACTGCCACCCTTTTTTATGCTAGTTTGAATTACATTTCTGTCACTTGTGATAAAAAGAATCCTTACTAGTATACTTAAAACTATGCTAACAGTATGCTTTTTAAAACTGATACTTTATTTCGAGAGGCAGTATCATTCATAGCTTTCAGAGTCTGTTTTAAAGCAATAAGATAAAAAAACATTATGCCTAAATTCTGTTTCCTGTCATGGACATATCATATCTAAAAAAGGAACATTATTTTTAATATACAGATATATTTTCTCTGTATTGATACTTCAATACCTATTCCACAGTCCTTCTCTATGATGCTTTATGATCGTGGTGCCACCATACACACCTAGTTTTGGACAAATAATGACTACCCTAAATCTAAGACATTGTGAAATTATAATTTACATATACCAAGTAGTCTTAACCAATATCAAGAAATCAAAGAGAGTCTGTGGGCTTATCTCCCTACCATGTTTTCTACCTCCTTTCTACAGGAAATCATAACTTTATTCCTAACTAAATGCCCTATCATACAGAGGGAACTTTATTGTGCTTTCCCCCAGACCTCTAAACAGGTAACAAAATAACACAAGAGAAAAGACCTTATACAGTGGACTCCTGGATAACAAGGGGATAGGAGCACTGATCCCCCATGCAAAAATCCATGTAGAGGGGTGTATGGGTGGCTCGGTTGGTTAAGCATCTGCCTTTGGCTCGGGTCATGATCCCTGGGTCCTGGGATGGAGTCCTGGATCAGACTCCCTGCTCAGCGGGGACCCTGCTTCTCCCTCTGCCTTCCGCTCCCCCTGCTCATACCTGTTCTCTCCCTCTCTCTCTCTCTCTGTCAAATAAATAAATAAAATCTTAAAAAAAAAAATCCATGTAGAAAAAAAAAACCCATGTAGAACTTTTGACTCCCCAAAAACTAAACTAATAGTCCACTGTTGACCAAAAGCCTTACCAATAACATATACAGTCAATTAACATTTATTGTATGTTATATGTATAATATATTCTTACAATAAAGCAAGATAAAGAAAATATTAAGAAAATTATAAGAAATAGAACATCTACTTACAGTATTGTACTGTATTCATCAAAAAAAATCCATGTATAAGTGAACCAGTGCAGTTCAAACCAGTGTTGTTCAAAGGTCAACTGTGAAAGAAGAGACCTTTTGCTCCTTGAATCTACACTGCTCCATGTTCAATACCTAAAAATTGGAGAGAAAAACAGAATCACTTATTTGAATACAAAGCCTGTTCATTACTTTAAAAAAAGCTGTTTTTAAAAATGAACTAAAAAGTTAAAGAAAGGAGAATATTAGAAATTCCCTTCAAATGAGTAACAACTTATTTTAACTTGCTGTCCATTTACACTACCTCACTGACAAGATCACCATAGGCTTTTAGGCTTCTGAGTACATCCTTGTGAAATGGAAAGATCTTTATTTGCCTCACCAAGTGTCAGGAAAGATGGGCTAATTACAGCTTAATACAGTTCACATTCTGATCTTATAAATGCAGTTGTGTGCTATTTTATACATATTTATGTCCATTAAGTATAATCTCTCTCTGAACTAAACAACATCTAAAACACTACTCAGCATGAAGAAATTATGGTCTGAGAATAAAGTGGGTGTTAATAAGAATTGATACAAGCAAGGAGATGCATATCAGTGGATAAATAATATACATGCCTGCATTATTTGGTAAATGTAATAGATGTATAGTTTTTTGCAAGCAACAGGAAATTTTCAAGAGAAGCAAAAATCTCAGTTACTATCTTCATGTCATTGAGAGCATTCTGAAAGTTTTATATCTAACCTATTTAATAATATTATGCAACAAATACAAAGAAATAAACTCTTTAAATTCTCAAAACAAAGATTCTAGAAATATTACAGCATTATCATGCTTTTATCTTTAGCATTTATTTGACCAAACAAAACATCTTGTTCTGGGAGGATGAACTTCTTACAAGAGAAAGGAATTGGAAGTCTGGGAGACCCAGATTTAATTCCCCAGTTTATCTGTGTCTTCTCAGGCAAATTACTCAACCTCTCTGTCTCCCTTCCCTCTTGTGCAAAATGAGTGAGATAACTACTTGGGGAAGAGAGTTGCAAAGATTAAATACCTCTGAGGAGCCTACTTCATATGTTAGCAGTAGTAAACACTAGTTGGTGCTCCATTAATTTCCCCTCCTCTTTTCCCAAATGACCATTCAAAAACCATGTGCTTTTCGAACTGAATTTCTAGCTGCAAACCATTCAAAGTGAAAGACATTATAGCTGATTCATATTCTAAAATCTGAAATGGGTCTTTAAAAGCCTCTCCTATCTAGATGATTTGAAGCAATATTATTTCATTAAGTTCAATAAAGTTCTCTTAAAATTTGTTATATTTTATGACCTAATTAAACATACATACAAGTGCTGGTTTAAAATCAAGATGCTGGTCAACAAAATGTAGCTGAACCCCTTAATTCAGGCATATAATGTAGCAAAACAGCCTGCAGTACAATAAAGTCAGCAAAGTAAACACTGGAAAGAGATAGTTGGCCTTGTTGTCTCTGTTAAACATGTCAAAGTACTGCATCTGAAAATATTTGAAAAATCTGCCTATTTTCCATCTGTTATATTTCTCAGAGGATAACTGAAAGTTCATGTGAAAGTTCACTGTAAGTTCAAATATGTCATATCAGGTCATTTGCAGGGTAAAGGTTCACTGAGAGTTTATTATTATTTTTTTAAAGACTGCAGTGGAAAAAGAATAAATATACTAATTGAAGCAATTTTACATTGCATTATGACCACTGCATTTTTAAACATCATAAATAGAAATTATAAATTTTAAAAGGCCATGTGCAATGCTTAATGGCAATAACAACAATTATAAGGAAAGTGCCTAAGATAGTATCCTTGGGATTCTTCTTAGAGAAGAGACTATAGATCAATTTTCGTTGTTCTACGTATTATTTAAAGTACAACAGTTGCTATATTTTACATTGTACTGAATACTTTGTTTAAACTGCCTATTTAAAAATAGTACACAGGGTTGCCTGGGTGCCTCAGTCAGTTAAGCGTCTGCCTTCGGCTCAGGTGATGATCCCAGGGATCAAGCTCCGCATCAGGCTCCCTGCTCAGTGGGGAGTCTGCTTCTCCCTCTCCTTCTGCCCTTCTCCCTACTTGTGCTCTCTCTCTCTCTCTCATAAATAAATAAAATCAAAAACAGTACATAGAGACAGAAAAAAGAAACATCGAAATAGTAAATAAATATAGTCTTACTGTAGCTGAATAGGGATGATTTTTAATTTGAAATTGCTAAGAATGCTATTTGCGGTACATAGTTTGTGAGCTGCTTACAGCAAAAGTAGGAAGCCAAGAAAAATATGCTTCATTTGGAAAAAAAAATGACTAAGTCATTGAAAAAAATAATCTAAATCGAATAGACATTAGTCGATATTATCTGAATCGCTGGAGCAAAAATTAAGATTTGCTTTTTGATAAAATCTTCATATTTTAAAAAATGCTTAAAAGAATATAATTTTCAGGGAAAGTAACAGTGAACATATATATATCTTCAAATATATATAAAATATAGGACATAGCTTCTGGGTTCACCAATTTAAAAAATTTTCTTTCTCTAACATACTGGTACATATGAGAGTTCAGCAAAGGATTCTAAATATATTGAGTAAAGGTGCATTCCACTCTTTCCTGTCAAATGCATGTCCTCAGCTTCACAATATAACTTGCAGTCTGTACTTTGCTCCTCAAATTGAAAAGCATATTTGTTTTTCTCCAGCATGTCCATATTCTCTTCATGATGTATTGCCAACTGGTTTTAATGGACCATAGCATTATTCATAGCATTAAACCATATACATGTTAGACATATACACGTATCTAATGAAATTAATTTTTTTAGCTGTTAAAGAAGGAAAGGTAGAGTGCCTGGGTGGCTCAGTCGGTTAAGTGTCTGCCCTGGGCTCAGGTCATGATCCCAGGGTCCTGGGATAAAGCCCAGCATCCGGCTCCCTGCTCAGTGGGGAATCTGCTTCTCCCTCTCCCTCTGCCTCCCCACCACGCTCCTGTATGTGTGTGTGTATGTGTGTTTGTGTGCGCGTGCTCTCTCTTTCTCTCTCTCTCTCTCTGAAATAAATAAACAAAATTTTTTAAAAAAAAGAAGGAAAGGAATTCTGAGTAAGATGTAATGACTGTATGAGGCGTGGGGCAGATCACTGTCTTCCTTGACCACTTTCGCTTATTATCTGGTGCTCTCTAATCACAGCTTTCCATCTCAGAAGTTACTTTCTTCTTCCCACTCTGGATTGGATGTGTAAGAATTTGAACTACACTCTCTCCGCTACCCTCAACTTTCCCCTTGCCTTCCTGACATTCCCTGATTCTCCCGTGGCGGTTCTCCTCCCACTCCAAGCCACCTCATCCTTTTTATTTATTTATTTATTTATTTATTTATTTGTTTGTTTGTTTGTTTGTTTATTTATTTATTTATTTATTTAAGATTTTATTTATTTATGACAGAGAGAGACACAGCGAGAGAGGGAACACAAGCAGGGGGAGTGGGAGAGGGAGAAGCAGGCTTCCCACCGAGCAGGATGCGGGGCTCGATCCCAGGACCCTGGGATCATGACCCCAGCCAAAGGCAGACAGACGCTTAATGACTGAGCCACCCGGGCGCCCCAAGCCACCTCATCCTTTACCAAGACTTCAACTATCACCTCTCGCAGATTGTCAAGAAAAACTTTGTCTTTCCCTCACATATCCCCAAGCTGCTTTCAACTGCTGATATGTTCCATGCATACAAAAACCTAAATGAAATGCTACCTCTGCCTCTGTTACTACCATTATTACTATTATTACTACCACCAGCATCTCTGCCTCACCACTATTAATGCTACCATCACCACTGCTGCCTCACCACTATTAATACTACCATCGTTACTGTGTCTCCTGAGTACCGTTCACTGATGCGTTCACTGTGTCAGGTGCTGGATTCAGCCCTGACCAATAGCAACCTATTTATAGTAATCTTTGCAACAACCCTATGAGTAGGTACCATTATCCTTATTTTATACTCAAGGAACTCAGTAAGACTCAGGACTACGTCACTGTAATGGAGAGGTGCAACACATGTTCAGATAAAATCAAAGCATGCTTCTACTCTTGTGTTAACACAATTTATTTTTCACTAGTCTCCAAATATTTGATGAACACTGAAATGTAAAACAGTAAGATAATGAACATCTTGTTGAAAAATTACTATATATTTTTGGTACTGTCCTAAGTGCTTTATTCACTCCCTTTCCGTAGTAACCCAATGAGAGTAGATATTACCATTTTTCTTACTCTACAAATGGGTGAAATTGAGGAACGTAAAGGTTGAGTAACTCGTCCCATCTCACGGAGCTAGTAAGTGGTAGAACCAGGATTCCAGGCAATATCTCAAGAGTCCGTGCTTTTTAATTGCTATTCTGGGCTAAGTGATAAATCCGATAAATTTGTACAAACGCAAAGATCCATGCCCTCAAAGAGTTTACAGTCTTGTTGAACAGATAAGAAGAGCAAGATGATAAAATCTAGGAGGTCAGATTTCTGGCCCGTCAACTATCTGTTTTACAGTTGCAAAGCTGTTACACTGGAAACAAGAGGCAAAGAAACCAACTACAAGACTTCAGAATCCTGATAAGATTCTATAAGAGCCCTCAGAATCTAGATAAGAAAACTGGCAAATTTGGATGAATATAAAATGAAGCAAATGAAGGATATTATGGAGTGAAAGCTGACCTTACTGGTGATTGATGAGATAAGTGAGATATGAAAGAGAACCAAGATCACCTGAGGCTAGGTCTGTGGGAGACTGACCATATCACCATCAAAAATGTACACGTCTTAAATAGAGACTGATGGATTTGAGGTAAGAATAAAATTATAAATAAAAACAAATTTATTTGGATAAGTCATCTGCTCCCAAGTAAGGGTAACCACTGCAAAAGCAGATGATCATTCTGAGAGATAAAATACATAGGTCTAAGAGCAAAGGGCTGAGGACACATTTCCTGTTGGTGCTATAACCCTCATGTACTTATGGCTTCCTACTTGTCTGGTACCATATGACAGCCAAGGAGGAGAAGGAAGAGTTAGAAAGAAGAGTGTGTGTCACCTGCCTGGCTCTGGACAAGGATCAGAAAAAGAATGGGAAACAAGACTGGAAAGACCACTGTCTAGATTGAGAAGGGTCTAGAATGCCATCTATAGATTCCTAATTTACACTGGAGGCAAAACCTATGTATTGTAAGCTTCATACTGGTGGAGCTGGCTCATGCTGGAGGAGCTTTTTGGAGTCAGGACAAAGAACCTTCTCCCAACAGAGCCCTGGATGGAATGGGGTCCTTGTATTTCAATGTTCCATTACATTTAGTATATTTAGTTCTTAAAGAGAAAGACTATTTCTATTTTAGGTACTATATCATTTTCCTAGGGCTGTCGTAACAACGTACCAAACTATGGGTGTTTTAAAGCAATAGAAATTTATTATCTCAGTTCTGGAGGCTAGAAGTTTGAAATCAAGGTGTGGACAAGCAGGGCCATGTTCTCTTTGAGCTCTGGGGGAGAATCCTTCCTTTCCTTTCCTAGCTTCTGGTGCTTTGCCAGCACCATTTAGTGGTCCTTGGTTTGTAGATGCATCACTCCAATCCTGTCTTCATGTGCTATTCTCTCTGTGTGTCTTCACATGTCTTCCTTCTGTGTGTGTCTTTCTCTATGTCCAAATTTCTAATTTTTTATAGGCACACCAATCGCATTGGATTAGGGCCCACCCTAATGATGTCATTTTGACCTGATTATCTCTGTAGAGACCCTATTTCCAAATAAGGTAACATTCTAAGGTCCTGAGGGTTAGAATTTGAACAAATCTTTGGGGGACACAATTCAACTCATAACAGGTACAAAGGTCAGCTTAATAATAAACTAGATCTATAGAACATGAAAATAGGAATATCAAATATTGTATATTATCTTAGGGAAGTATGATTTTTAAGGTGCCAAAAAGAATTGTCCTGAAACTTAGCTCTGGATCCTAATAAGATAATGATGACTATGATATAAAGTTTGTGTTTCACAATACAAAAACAGTACATAATACAAATGAAGAAACAATACAAAATTTAAAAAGAACAATAATGAAATACAGTTTAATAAACACATAATAAAATTTCTAAAACATAGATACTATATGCCATGCTATATAAACTTTCCTACCTGTCTGGCATCAAATACCAATCTGTGAATTTTCCATCAATACTCTGAGCACCACATTCAGTGAGGTGGCCTGCAAGGCTGCAAAAGAAACAAAAATGAAGCGTATGGTAACCAAAATTTTCAATACCCACCCAAATATAAAATTAAACCTTATTTCTTAGAAGTATTGTCATAAGAGTGGGCAAAAAACTTGGTGACTTTATGTGGGTGTCATTTTGTTTTCATTTTAATAAAGTAAGCCAATGATGCAGAAAAGCTAGTTTGGAATAACAGAAAAAATACTGGTCTAAGAATCTTGGGAACATAGGCCAAATGATAAACTTGAAGCAAAATGGGGCTAATGCATTAGCCAGTGTGGTTGTGAGAATTGACTGAGAGAAAAATATGTGAAAGTACCATGAATATTGCAAAGTGCTTCAAAATGTAGGTTATTACCTGACTGGAAATATGACATGAATGTGTCATTATGTTATTTATAGAATAGGAGGGGAAATTTATAAAATATGACTATCCTATTTGATAAGTTAATGGACTAAAAGTTACCAATAAATCTATTATTAAAACTCACTCTTCAAAAATCTAGATCTGAAGCTCTTCATAGAGTTAAGAGCTGTAATCAGCATGGGATAATAAAATACTTTGAGTGTTAGTTGTTTGGCTTGTGTGAATCCAGCTTGTGTGACTACTTAACTCACTCTGTAACTTTGGGCAAGTTATGTAACCCTGTTGTATATCAATTTCCTCATCTCTCAAATGGGGACAACAACCTCTGCCTAATAAATGAATTGTGAGAATAAAAAATAATTTTATGAAGTGCTTATCACATAGTAGGCATTCAATAAATGATGGCTACTTTGTTTCATAAAATGTCTTGAATCTTTGTATAAGACATATTTCTTTAGCTTTAAAACTCTGCAGTATTAAAGAAATTCAATTATGTTCAGTTTAAAATGTATTGAAGATGACCTACCAGACACATAACATCTTAATTTCTGAAAAGCTTAAGTAAATTTCACTATCATGTTGTTAAAGAGTAAAATTATTACTAGCATTATTATTAGACTTACCTTCCAGGTGCTAATAAATCAAAGCCATTGCTTTTCCAACCAAACTCTGAGAAAAAAACCTACAAAAATTAATTACTTATTTTATAATGCATCCATTTATAGGTAGAATCTTCACATAGTATCTGTTTGAGATAAAGTAATTAATTCCCTACTTAATCTAAAGTATCAATCAAGACTACTGCATAGATTCAAATACAAAATTATACAAAGAAACTAAGAAAAACCTCTCATAAAAACTTGGAAGTAGAAATTCTGCTCTGGACAAGATGGAATAACCTGGACCCAATTTACACTACTGCCTGAAACAACCAAAAAAACAGACAGAATATATGAAACAACAGTGTTCAAGACACTGGACATCAGGCAATGAAGAATAGTGTCCCTATGAGATGTAAAACAAATGAGATGAGCCTATGACTGAGTTTCTAGGCTACGCACTGGGATGGGGAATTCCAGGGGGCCTGGCAGATTCCCTGAGTTGAGAACCTGAGAGTCTAGGGAAACTGAGCTGACTAGAGTTCACAGGGCAGGTGAGCACAGAGGGAAAAAGCTGTACAGACAGAGAACTCTAAATCTCTGCATAGGGCCTCTCTTGAGCACTCAGCTGAGAACCAGCCATGAGGATCTGAAGAGGCTACCTAGTCTGGCAATAGTGACTATTCTCACCAGCAGACTGGAAAAATCTCATTATTCATAGGAAATGGGTAAAGTGTTCAGAAAAGACTTGCCTCAATAGTGGGAAATAATTAGTCCTAGACTAGATGCTGCCCTGGTCCTGTTTAACAAATCTTAAAAGCAAGACCAAAAAGGATCACACAATTTCAAAGTAACTTATCACATTCCAAGGTAATAAAAGTATTTACAGGAATACGAAAATATCCAGCAACCAGCAAGGTAAATTTACAATGTCTAACATCCAATCCAAAATTACCAGGCATGCAAAAAATCAGGAGATGACCCACACTGAGAGAAAAATCTGTCAATTAAAACACACCTACATCGGACAGAGATGTTAAAATTAACAAACAAAGACATTAAAACCATTGCTATAACTGTATTCCATGTGTTGAAAAACACAAAAAACAGATCTCAAACCCAAACACAAAAATGATCGGAATTTGCACTTCTAAAGAAAACTGAGATGAATAAAACACTGCTTGTGATACTGGCAGCGTAAACAATGCAGAAGAAAGGATTAGTTAAAGTTAGGAGCTAGCAATAGAAACTATCCAAAAATTTAATAGAAAGAAGAATTTTAAAAATGAAGAAAGCATCAGTGAGCTTCTGGAAAACTAAGTGACATAATGTATGTATAATTGGAGTCCCAGTGACTGGAGAGGGTCATGGAAAGTATTTGAAGAAATAAAGGCTAAAATATTTTCAAATGTGACAAGACTATATATTCACAGCTGCAAGAAGATCACAAACACCAAGTACAAGGAACATGAAGAAAAGGCACATCATAATACAATTGCTCAAAACCAATGGTAAAAAGAAAGTCTTAAAAGCAGACAAAGGGGGTTGCGTGGGTGGCTCAGTTGTTAAACATCTGCCTTTGGCTTGGGTCATGATCTCAGGGTCTTGGGATTGAGCCCTGCGTTAGGCTCCCTGCTCAGTGGGGAGTCTGCTTCCCCCTTCCCTCTGCCCCCCACCCCCTGCTTGTGCTTGCTCTCTCTCTCTCTCTCAAAAGAAATAAAATATTAAAAAAAAAAAGCAGACAAGAAAACATGTCATCTGTAAAAAGACAAAGATAAGGAAGACAGCAGATTTCTCATCAGAAGGAATAATGAGAAGGCAGTAGAACAACAACTTTAAAGTACTGAAAGAAAAATAAACTGTCAACCTAGAATTCTATACTCAGGGAAAATACCTTTCAAAAACAATGGTGAAACTACATGGGTAAACATACAAGATTTTTTTCTTAACATTCAAAGCACTTTAAAAAGTAATTTATTATTATAATACCAATAAAATATAAGTAATAAATAATAACATAAAACTAATAATAATGATGTATTGTTGAGTTTATAAAATATATAGAAGTAAAATGTAAAAAAAAAGCACAAAAGGTAGTAGGGGAGAAATGGAAGTAATGATTGTAAATTTCTTATACTATATGTGAAGTAGTATAGTCTCACTTGAAAGTAGACTGCTAAGTTGTTTTTTTTTTTTTTTAAGATTTTATTTATTTGAGAGAGAGAGCAAAAGCAGGGGGAGCTTCAGAGGGAGAGGGAGAAGCAGGCTCCCTGCTGAGCAGAAGAACCAATGTGGGGCTCAATCCCAGGACCCTGGGATCATAATCTGAGCCAAAGGCAGCCGCTTAACCAACTGACCCACCCAGGCGTCCCTAGACTGCTAAGTTAAACATGTATAAAAGTGCTAAAGCCACCACTAAGATAAAAAAACAAACAAACAAAAAAGAGTTATAGCTAATAAACCAAAAATTGAGATATAAAGGAATCATTAAAAAAAGAAAAACCTTGGGCGCCTAGGTGGCTCAGTTGGTTAAGCGACTGCCTTCGGCTCAGGTCATGATCCTGGAGTCCCAGGATCGAGTCCTGCATCGGGCTCCCTGCTCGGCAGGGAGTCTGCTTCTCCCTCTGACCCTCCCCCTTCTCATGCTCTCTCTCAAATAAATAAATAAAATCTTTTAAAATAAATAAATAAATAAATAAATAAAAATAAAAAGATAAACTCTAAAAAATAAAAAAAAAAGAAAAAAGAAAAACCTTAATTTCAAATAAGGCAGAAAAAGAGAAAAAGGGGAACAAAGATTTAGATGAGACAAATAGGAAACAAATAGCAAGATGACAGATTTAAACCTAACTGTATCAATAATCATATTAAAGTAAATGGTCTAAATATCTCAATTAAAAGGCAGAGATTGTCATATTATATAAAAAAGGAAGACTCAAAAGAAAGTTGGCATGGCTACTTCAGCATCAGATGGTCAATTTCAGAGCAAAGACTACCACCAGGAATAAAAAAGGTCATTTCATAATGATAAAGAAGTTATTTCATCAGAAAGGCATGATAATTAATTATGTAAGTGTAACTGTCATTAACAGAAGCTCACTAGAGCACTAATTATGAAGGAGGGGAGGTAATACCCTCTAGGTGCATTCAGAATGGTTGGAATGGGAAGAAGCAGGAGTAAATGGTAGAGTATACTGTATAAAAGTTCCCTGCCCCTAAGATTTTTCTGGTGCAGGGGAGAGGAGAAATGGACTACTGAGGATGCTTAATTTAAAATATAAAAGCTAAAATTTCTGTTAGACACAAGATCAGAAAACAAACCCAACTCTGCAAAGTGTATTTCACTCTCTTATTGCACACACAATAAGACACACACGTATTTAGAAAATTAGTTTACATTAAAAAACACAAGACAGGATTTTTCAGAACCCAAATATTATATATGTTTATAATATTTATAAGCATTCATATATATGTATATGTATATGTGTTTGTGTGTGTGTATACACTGGATTCAATAATTTGATTTTTGTTTTTCTAAAAAGGAAATCACCTGTCAAGCTCTGCGGTTATGAAAGAATATATAATATTTGTGTTCTTAAATAAAAATCCTATCTTGTGTTTTTTAACGTAACCCAATTTTTCAAATGTCAAACTAAACCTAAATATTTTTCCAGTTATAATTCACCAACAAAATAGGTCAACAGAGAAAAAACTTCTCATTAACATAGCACAATTCAGTAGAAATGTATTAGTGCCACCCTGTGGCAAACTTCACACTTTATGAAATTTTGTACAACTGAAGAGCCTCCGTTTATTGGCTTTAGCTGTCTTCGTTTAAAAAAAAATCCAATTTTTGCCATTCTAACTGGTGTAAGGTGGTATCTCAATGTGGTTTTGATTTCATTTTCCCTGATGGCTAATGATATTGAACATTTTTTCATGTGTCTGTTAGCCATTTGTATGTCTTCTTTGGAGAAGTGTCTGTTCATGTCTTCTGCCCTGGAGAGGTTGTGGAGAAAGGGGAACCCTCTT